TCATGTTACGCTTAAACTGTTGGTTGCTATTTAAGCCCAAATATTCTTAGCCATCCTAAGGTGACCCTCTTTCCGTGTTTTGATCTGCAGTGGCCACAAAGACCTCTGCTTGCATTACCTCCAGGCTGAACTAACATTCTGATTAAAACCTAGAATATAAAGTGACTGTTTGGTATTAAGAGTCAATGTTTAAATCTCCGAACATTAGTAATGTTTCAAATAAAGGGGTCAGTTTCCCTACGTAGGAGAGAACTCAGCAACACATTGTGTTGGCTTCTACTTTGAGGAAAAAAAATCCCAGACTTACATCTTGCAAGACTGAGCTATGTCAGAATTATGATTTGGAATTTTCCAAGAGTGTTAGTCTCATATAATTTAGAAATAAAACATTTGATTATTTTTACTGTTTAATCTCTTATCACTTGTGAAAACTGTTTTATCATAAGCTTATGTATGTTGAAGTTTTGAAGTAAGGGATGTTAGTTTTCTGAATCCATTTGTAATTTGACAGCACGCACTCCCTTGTGGAAGTGTAATTTAACTTTTCTAAAATTTCTCGAAGTCCTAAACAACCTGTTTCTGCCTGTTTTGAGTCTAGGTGGATGCATTGCGATTACGTCTGGAAGAGAAAGAGACTATGCTAAATAAGAAGACAAAGCAGATTCAGGAGATGGCAGAGGAGAAGGGGACTCAAGCAGGAGAGATCCATGACCTCAAGGACATGTTAGAGGTGAAGGAACGCAAAGTTAATGTTCTTCAGAAGAAGGTAAGATTGTAGAGGTCTAAGTCAGATACATGTCTCTCTGCATCTCGATTTCGAAGACTGACAAAAAGTCTGAACTAGAATTTGCGTTTTGGAGATGAATGATCGAGTCCATTCGTGTAACGGAAAGACGGTGAATTTCATTGAAAATAAATCTTACATATAATCTCATTTTAAGTTGTTAGAACTCCAGGCAGCAGGAGGATGTCAGAAAATAAAGTAGGGACCATATTAGGCAAATTTGGAATCTGAACCTGAAAAACATTAAATCGTGCTTCATTATTTTCCTTGCCACATCTGTCTATCTGTGCTGGTAGACCAGGATGAAAAAGAATAGAAAAAAAAAAAATCAATACTTTGCAATGAAAGCATTTTAGAGAAATAGCATTTAGGACAAAAGATAAGTAACAGTTACCCTGAAAGATTTAAAAAAAAAAAAGGTAGCAATGAATCCGTCACCCCTGGCTTTGGCAGAAGGTCGTGTTTTGTGTTGGGGAGGGGGAGTTCACACTCCCTGCACTGTGCAATGCAGCTGCAGGCAAATAAAATGCAATTTTTAGTGTCTGAACATAGCAGTGTGTTTTGGCAGTTCCCTACGTGCTATGTGATAATTGACCTGGGATAAAGTACAGGAATAACGCAGTTGAGTGGTTTTTTTTGTTGTTTTGTTTTTTTTTTTTTTCTGTCTTTGCTGATGTTACTTGTTTTTTAGCTGGTGTTCGGGAAGACTCCAAATGCAACTTGTCTGCTCTTTTGGATAATTTGCCTTTCTCCAGAGGAAATACATGCCCTCTGCTTTTCAAAAAGCTTAGAAACCAAAATAAATATCTTATGCTTAATGATAAGAAATACTGTGTGGCAGGAGAGAGGGACTGCAAATGGAATTTATAACTCAGTTGTTTAAAATCAGTAGTGATCGTAGTTACTACAGCAGCAGTGTTGGTTTAGTGTTCATAACTTTTAAAGTTCAGTGTTTGTACTTAAAAATTATTTTCTTTCTGTTTGTACTTTAAAGATTATTTTCTTTTCGTTCCCTCATCTGTGAAGTCATAATTACCTCCTCAAGCAGCTCTTCTGCTCCAACTCTGAAGAGACGGGTCAGCACGGAATTTTCAAACATTTAGTTCAGTTTATGGTAGTTTTGTCTTCTCTGGTGTGACCTCGAACTTGCCTACCAGATGAAAGAATCCATGGTTTTCTAAGGATTAATAAAACACACAACAGACTTTCAGATATGCCTTTGAGACTCTACGATGACATCTAGTGCCTAAAAATCCTTTATTATTAACACTGTAGGCAATGGTCTGTTCAAACCTTCAGCGTGTGTCTGAGTCTCTGGTTGTGCAAACTGTACAGAAAAGACCGAAGCAAGACTGTCCCAACGCTCGAATCATGAACATTGAAGGAGGATCCTGTATCCAGGATCATATGTTGGTCTGCTCATCAGCCTAGCTTCTGCAGGGAAAAGGAAGATATGCTGGGCTTTCTGCTCAACTAGGGCTGATGACGTAGCTGCTTTTCTTCAGGAATTCTGTGGCTTAACGAGCACTGCAAATTTAAGAGTATTTGTGTAGATATCTCAGTCAGAAAAAGCCATGCTGCTTCTGCTTTGACTCCAGGTCTCAAGACGTGCCGCTGAACTGGTTCCAAACCCAGTTCAGAGATTTCAAACACCATAAAAAAGACCTAAAGTCCCCACAGGCTTGTGCCAGCTTCTTTATTAAGACTGGCAGACGTGACCTCAAAGGTGTGTTCTGGAAGGTCATGGAGGACTTGTCCCTCTGCATCCCTGAAGGGATATCAGACCTCTTCTGCTGCTGCTTTTTCTTTCAGTCAAGCTTTTCTGTTATGGGTTTGCTAGCTACCACTGAACATAACAACAAAGTTGAAATGTATGGCTTTTTAGACATTTCCAGAAGCTATTCTGTCTAATTTGTACTCTTTGTCTCCAAGATGCTAGAGTCCTTTCTTTTTTCAGGAATATCCTCTCAGAATTGCTTTACCGTGTAGGACAGGATTTTTAGATGAAGGTATTATTTTCAATAGGAGAAATTAGGCAAACTTTTAGTCCTTTGTCTCTATCAAAATAAGACTCGGTAAAATCTTGTAGTGGCAATGAAAGTGCCAAAGACAACTGAAGAGGCTTCATTATGCGTGTTCAAATTCAGCATAATTATCCTGTGGGATTTTTTCATTTCTACCATTCAGGAAGGAGATTAGTTGTTTAATTTCCACATGGGAAATGAAGACACAACACAGAATTTATTTTCATTTTACAGTGAACCATGACTACTTTGAAAATAGGATCTTTACCCCTTCCAATTTGACTTTCCACTTCTCTGAGAATCCACCGAGATGTTTGAGAGCAATTGCAGCCCAGCTCAGATGGCACGGTGTGTCTTTTTCTATTTTCCCCTTCTCTGAATGTACAGCTAGTAAGACATTATTAGGGCAGGGGAATACCTCAGTTTCTTCATACCACTTTTCAACTCTTTGCTAGTTTAGTTTTGAAGGTGACTGATTGCCATACAGATCTTAGAGTTTATTACAGCAGCTTCAGGTTCCATGTCAGCAAGGTGTCTTCCCTCTCAGGAGAGGCTTTAGCTTGTGAAATTTGATCTCTTTTTATTCTTTCTGAGCCATATAATAACGTACATTTTCCAGATTTGGAACGTGGGTCCTAAAAGGTCCACAAGCTCAGCTTCAGACAGTATTTTCAATGGAAGATAGTCCATAGTTTACAGGTGCTGGTAGAGGTGACAATGTATTCTCCAGGGACCGACCCGGGAATATACTTTTGATCTTCTTGCCTACTCCAGATCAGTCATGACAGATGCCCTGTGGCTTGAAGTGCGTTCCAGTATTCTCGTTGTAAGTGCTTTTGGTTTCCAAAGGAGCACACGTTTCACAGCTCCAAGTTGGGTGCTGTTATGGCCCTCACCAGTGAGTTCATAGCCTATAATAACAGGTATCTTGTTTAGGTTATAATAAACAGTACATGATCACTTGTATTTTTAGCTGAAATTCTCTTTTGTCTGTTGCATACTTCATACTTACTTACTGAAAACAATAAATCACCTCCTGGGCATTCTTTGTGCTGTAGTGAAGAGTTTCAACTTCTTGATGCCATTAAAGCAGAAGTCAGAGACTTAGTACAGTTGTCGTAAGCACAGACTTCTACTGCTGAAGGACATCGTAAGATGTTTTTGCATTGAACATCAATAGAGGAATCATGAGACTTTCTATTCCTAAGGGTCTTTGTTCAGTGCATTTATAGTTTTGTGGCAAATTGTTTTCACAGAATCGTAGAATGGTTGAGGTCTGAAGAGACCTCTGGAGGTCTTGTCCAACCGCCCTGCTTAAGCAGGGCTACCCAGAACCAGTTAGAACCATGTCCAGATGGCTTTTGAATAGTGATGCGTAAGAATCACTTCTATTAAACTTCAGAGCAGTGAAATCTGTGGGTGAAGTGCTTGACATGCACTTGAAGATTGCTTAGTAAATTATGTGGGACATCTAAACTAGTCAAGGAGACATAAGTTAAATTTGAAAAATCGATTCTACAGAAAACAAATTTTATGCTATTGCAGTAATTTTTAGTGCCTAGTTATGGCTACCAGTGCAGCAGCCATGTTAGGGGAACCTACTGGATTCAAAATAAATTTTTATGCCTGCCTATATTATAAATTAGAATTTGTCAATGGAGATTATGCTGCTTAATTTTTATATAACCCCCTCTTTTGCTTGAAGCATTTTGTGATAACACAATGAAAATAAGAACATCTGGATCATATATAGCATATGTACCTATATTGCCAGATGTATGGTAATATTCTTTTAAAAAACCAAATGTTGTTCTGATGTGTGCGAAAGATGGCAAGCCAATTTCTTATTTTGAGATCTAATAATGTAAGGAACATTCTCTCAATTTATATTGATATTATTAAAGAATCTTGCCTGTTGCCTTTAGTGACTAAAGTACTTGATTTTTTTAATCTTTTTTTTTTTTTTTCCTCAAGTAATAAATATTCACTCCTTTTAGATAAGTAGGTTCAAACGAAGAAGGAGAGCAGGACTGTGAGGTTAACGATGTTAGTTCAGTAGTTCAGCTATTGTAGCTGGCTCGGGTAGGGGTTTAAACTGATGCACATTGCTATAATAGGGTCAATAAGATTGATAGCAATAGCAAAGTTACAAGAAAACTCCATTGGAGTCTCTGGTATGATCCGTGCTCCAGCATTCCAAAAAGCTGAAACCACAATTCAGCAAATCTGTCCTATACAGAAGGAATCTTTTTGTTTGGTGTTTTTTTTTTTACTATCTCTCAAAGAGGAGCAGTCATTTCAATGCTGTATCCTACTTGTGCTTCGAGATAACCTCTTGATTGGCAAGACGGAACATTACTCATAGGTAGTGGGGCTGACAAATTCTGGTTTCTTGAAGCAATCTGGGAAAAGAGCCAAGTGTGGGGCCTCTTGGCTTCATTATAAATTAAACGTGTAGTTTTTCTGGCAAGATAAAGCTAATAAGCTTTGTTGGTCTATTCACTGTCGTACCAGACAAACACAAGGTTCCCTATGATGGAAGAGGCAGGAAAAGCAAGGGCGTGTGCCATTTTTGAGGTTGCTTGCCATCAGTCTTCCTCACATGGCTTTTCATGGCTCTCTGGGTTGCAAGACTTCACGATTTCCAACGCTTTGGTCACCAGGCGTTCTCTGCTCCTGGGGGAATTGTCTGAGCTGTGTCTGGAATAGACATTAGCGATTGCTTCAGCCAACTTAGGCTTCTTCACTAAAACAAGGAAGGAGTAATTTTTCGGTTTAAATCAATAATTTCCTGGATTCAAGAGTGAATTTTGAATCCCCTAGGCTACACAGTCTTCTAAGGTGGGTCTCTGCACAATATTTAAACAGTCATTAGGACTGTCGTAAGGCACAAATGTATGAATAGCTTTCAAGCCTGTGATTTCACTTATCCAAAGAATAAGAGAACTGATGAGTATG